CTCCAATTATCCGTGTTTTGCTGACTCACCTCTCTCAGACACAGTGTTGGAGAGGGAAGAGTATGAGAGAGAGAGGGGACACTTAATGATGGTGAGAACAGAACGAACCCTCTGTGAGCACGTACAACTCCAATAAATGGTTCCAATTGTTAGGTGCTAGTGATGCCTCTTTTGCAGGGTGTTCCATTTTGGTGAAGTCCAGCCCCTTTTTGTAGCCTCAGCAATAAGTATGTTACCTGTGATTAAGTATTTAAGTAATGGTTGCAGAAGAGTCTAAACTTCATCATTTGAATCATGCAATAAGTATTGGCTGGTTGGTTTGTTGTGTAGAAATTTTTTATATTTGGCTGTTACATGGGTATTATATGTCTAGGCTATTTTTTTTTTTACTTTCTTGTAACCTGTGTATGTAAACACAGTTAATAACGTTCCATTTGATACTGACGTCTCAACACTTGTAATGAATGATTGGCCACCTTCTTCAAAACCCCTTCAATCTATTCCTTTTCACGTCCCCTCTTTTCCATTTTATCGACCCCAACACCATGACACTGAAGGATGTTTTTGTTGCTAGGCAACGGACCGCAGAGTCTCTCCTTCCTTGTTGCAGTTTCCCCTCCCTCCTCTCCCTTCCTCTCCTCTCCTCTCCTCTCCTCTCTGCATCTTTCCCCTTTGCTCTTTGACCAGCATGCTATATTTCTGCTCCCGTCGCCCAAGAGAGGTCTCTGCTCTGCCGACATGTGACATAAAAAAATGTAAAAAGTTGGCTGGACACTGAAACGTCCAGATGGCCTGAACTGGTCTGGAATAGCCCAGCAAGACGAGGATGTGAAGGAAGTTCCTCTGAGAAAAAGGACTGGACATGGAAAGCTAAAATGCACCTCTTAGTTTAACTGACCTCTCGGAACCATAAGGAATATTTGAAGTATGCAGATTGTGTCTATATTAATAGTTTTGCGCATTAAATGGCAAAACAATGAGAAAATATATCAATCAGAAACTAAGAAGCATGGCTCATGTCCTTAGATCTACTTTAGGTTAAAAAACAGCAAAAAAACTAAAGGATAATCAATTTACTCTGGCATAAACAGAGAAAGTATGACATCTTTATATCGTTTTTTCTTAGTATTAAAAGACTTATCGGTGCAGCTCTAAGCAAAACATGTGGACTAAGAGAACACAAGCTTTTCATTTTCTCTGTCTCACAGTCACATGACAGAAAATATATTTAGAAGGTATGCTTTCTTTGGGTTTTACCTTTCCTGTCCATGTGTTCTAAAGGTCTTTGTGTGAATAAATAGTCTGCAAAGGTTAAAATCGCCAAGTCCCCTCCAGAGCAAGTTTCTCTCCCACACACTCCCTCATTCATTTGTTCCAGAACATTGTTACATCACTATGTTACACTTGTGTTTTTATTGGCTAGCGCTCCAACACATTGTGATAGGAATTGAAAAATGGCACAGTAGAGGCATAAAATAGAAAACAATATTGTGGGAGAATTAAATTGTCGCTCATTTTATTTATTGCCATGCTGAGATGGAGCAGCTACATACAGCACCACCGGTGATCATTAACTGTTGAGGTAACTTAGTCGGCACAGAAATAAGTGGCATCACTGGTTCAAAGGCATGCTGCAGGCATAGGATCAAAAACATGGATATCCTTATGATCATGCACACAGGGAAATGAAAACCCAGGTTTATCTTTTTCCATGTAAACCTCATATCCCGACTGTGATCAAAAGCAGCACTCTCAGATAAAACGTCGTTAAAGTGTTCCTGCTCGAAGGGTCTACCCACATCGACTAACAGATATCTAAAACCAGATTGTGAATGGCGAAACACAACCAAACTAAGCCGTGTTTATCAGTTTGGAGAGTGGGCGTAGTGCCCCACTTCAGGGGCTCATTAGATGTCAGACAGAACAATAACGAGAGAAAGTGATGAGAGAGCACTTATCCTAGAGAGGGGGGGGGGTTAAAGTCCATTCATAACATTCCTGTGGGCAAGTGAGGAGGAAAGACAAGAGCTGTACAGTCTGAGTAAAGTCATTAATAACTGTCACGCTGACTTTATTGTTCATGCTAAATTAAATCTGATATGCAGTACTGTAGCTGCGGGATTAGATAGCTCCTAAATGAGATTTTTTAAACTTGAGCTTGGCTCTGAATATGCTGTACAAACTGTGTCACGTAAATACAGTTTGATTTTAACGTTACAGTTTGGATCACATAAAAAGACACTTTTAAATAGGAGTAGTTTTAAGATCTTTCTAAATTGTATATTTTACGCATATTTTTCAATAATTATTAATTGAGTGTGTGGGAGAGAAACACAGGGATTTTAGCCTTTGCAATTCTTACATGCACACAAACCTATAGAACACACTTCAGTAAAGGAACAAACTGGAAAGCATAATATGGCCTCTTTAAATGTTGCATAAATGAACTGCTTCATCGCATCATACATGTTTTTCAATCAAATGTTCTTTTTCTTTATGATAAAATTTTTTTTTTTTATTACTTATTATTTTACAAGTCATTTTTGTGTAATTCCAAGCAAAATGTAATTTAATCAAAAAAAAGGATGGGTGTTTGAATAATTTTTCAATTCAGTGATAAGTAAAAAACGAACTGATATCTTGAAAACATTCCCATTAATATGACATTAAAGTAACGCAGTGGCTGCACTTCTTCCCCATGGTACACTTTATATACTGAGGTAATACATCCAGCGCAGCAAGTTTACTGCAGCTGTGAGGCTCTGATAAACGACAGAGAGCTTTCTGTGCAATAATTGGCTCCGTGTGAGAGGAGAGGCTGCAGGAAATACCGCCTGCTCTTCTTTCAAATGCATACTACTCCCTGAAAACAAATACCTATTGTGCATACTTCCTGGTGTGGTTGCAGTGTTTATGCTAAGATATGTGCATGGAAAAAGAAAGTAAATGTGGAAGCTATAGGTCCCTTTCTTCCTCTCGCCTCCCGCAACATTAACTGTCAAATCGCAGGATAATGGAGAGGAATATAATGCTGGGTTCAGACACAGTAATGCACCACCTACAAAGGGTATCTGTGTGAAAAAAGAGAGGAATACATGTGTGACATTCTGTATTCAACGTGTGTTTACGTAAGTGGCTGTGCTGCTATGTGTGAATATGCTTTCTTGGGTGAAAGATTGAAAAATAGCAGGAGAACGAAGCCATTAAGTGCTCTGGGGAGTCTGAGTGTGCGCACACACACACACACACACACACACACACACACACACACACACACACACACACACACACACACACACACACACACACACACACACACACACACACACACACACAAACACACACACACACACACTCGCGCGCTTTGAGTGTGAATAATGCCTGCTGAGCTCTGGAGAAGAGGACAGTCAGAGGTCTTCATCTCACCTATGAGCTTTGGTGAGGCGTTCAGGGTCNTTTTTATTAATACCGTGTCCTGATTGGTGGGAAACGGTTGCAGGTTATAAGAAAATTGTTTGCCAGGCACGCATATCTGAAATAATGTATGCGCTGCCATTTCCCCACATAAACATAACAGTCTGCAATGAAACGGTTGTCTCCTGCGTGCTCCACTTCCTCCTTGGCAAACCGGTAACTTTCTTGTTAACCCGTTTTGGTTTAAAAACAGAATACGGTCGGTTTTTCCGTTTTGGTCCAAAGAACGATATTACATACACGGATTAAACATGAACTTCTCCTCATATTTTTCTAAATGATTTTTTTCTAAAAGTAATCATCATCTTTTTATATATATACATATATCACCTATACAGCACCTTTGGGAATGTCGTGTCTTGACCAAGGACACACATTTTTTTTTTGACGAGCGTGTGCCTCGAACCCCTGTAATTCGAGGTGACATGAGTGGGGGGCGGACGAACTAACCACTCCGCCAATGCCACAGTCACCCCAACCGTGCGGGCCGGATCAGAATGTCTGGCGGGCCACCAGTTGATGGTCACTGCTGTACAGGAATGAATTAGTCATTAATTTACTCATTGGTGTCAACCATGTAAATATTCCACTTTTCC